TGATTATATTGGGATTGTGCTAATTTGGTTTCTGTAAGTGATATAATATCGAACTGTTGACTAATGCAGTAGTCCAGTCATAGTTCTCTTTTAGTAATGTTGTTGTATCCTTGTATATTATGTATTGCAATAGTTATGTAGAAATTGTTATGTTGGTTAGAAAGATGTGTTGACATATTATTAGGAGATGTTCATGGCCATTATGTTTGTTGTAAGTGACTGATTTAGTGATATAGTAGGAGGGTTGAATATTTCACAAGTAGGTGTGGGTAATGGTGGTAGGTTAAGTAAACAGTTAGGAATTGTTCTAATAGTGTATATTTGTTTACGATTTTGTATTGTTGGTGTGATCTCTGCTTGTGAAGTTATTGGCAATGTAAGTTGTATGTTGTTTAGCAATAATGCTGAGTTAATATCTTCAATGTTCTCTGGTATAAGTGGAAGTAGTTGTTTTGTGAGTTTAGTTATATTAGTATCAGTCTTGTCTGTTTGATCTGTATTCTGAATAAGAGGATTTGCAATACTGATCCAAGATGATGACAATTGTTTGAAGTAAAAATGCTGATAAAGTGTTTTTGTAATCTGGATAAGTTGTTGTGATGTTGTAATTAGTAGTGTGATATTGAGCTTGGCAAGTTTTTGGCTATCAGTTGGTAAGGCTGGTTTATCTGTAGGATTTACTTGCATTATATGGTCTAGTAGTGGAAATCGAATACAATAGCATTGAGAGATTTCTTTAAGAAAAGTTTTTGCTATTGTGTCATTAGTTATAGGATATGTAAAATCTGACTCAGTACTGATAAGCTCAATTTTTGTTGACAAAGATGGTTTGGTAATAAAATAGTCGCTAGGAAGTAGTTTGAATATATAATATTCTCTTAATTGTGCTACTGCTTCAGCTAATGGTACTTTAGATATAAAGGAGTTGAAAGAAAAGAGACCTCTGACTTTGTAGTTCAGTTCTTGATAAGTGGTAGGTAGTGGTTTTTTAGGTGGTGGAAGCTGAAAATAGGAGTTTGGAATTGTAGTAAAAGTATAGTAATCTGCAAGTTTGCACTGAAAATATGACAAGTATTGTCTGTTTGATATTGGAAAATAAGTTTATAGTTCTGAAAGAAGGTTTTGGTATCTTTCAGGTAATATAGGAAGTTTTGCAAAATAGTTGTCTGGTAGTTTGTCAAACTTGAAGATTTTTCTTAATCCATTGATGGTAGCTCTTGTATATAATCTTTGTGTAATTGAAAGTGTAAATGGTAAGATGGCTTTGATATGTTCTGGTATTTCACTATGGTCTTGTAGTAATAATATAAGTTTTTTTTGAAGTACATTAGTGATTACAATTCTAATTTTCTTGGGTGTTTTTTATTTTCATTTTGAATTTGCAGAAAGCCTTGTGCATAATAAATGGTTTTGTAGATCATAAAGGAGGTGTAGTTGATAAGGTTAAGGTTAGAGAGATATTGTGCAATAAGCATTTGCTTAAGCATAGTATTAAAGTTTTGTGTGTAGTTGCATCTATAATTGTAATTTGATTAGTTTGTTTATATGTAGTTAGGGCATTATTGTATAGGTTAGTATATTCTTTTTGATGTGCAGAAGTGGTATTTGGATTTCTGGTAAAGGTAGTGAAGAACCTGGTATCGAGGTATCTAATTTTAAGAAAAATTGCAGATGGAATTACAAATTCTGTTGGTATAATAACAATTTTATAGTCAATAAAGTCCTGAATGCCAGCTGGTGTTTGAAGTACTTCAGCAATTTTCTCTTATGACCAAGTTTGTTAATCAAATGAGGTATTAATTTGTTCAGTAATTCTGGCCTGTATAGTTTCTGCCCATTCTGAGTCATCAATATTATTGAACCTAAGTATTGTTATCCAGCTAAGCCATGGACATGGCTACTCCAAATTAGGGTGACTTGGTCCACTTAGGCTATTTCGGCTACGTAGTTTACTTTGGCTATGTAGGCTATAAATGCCATGTTAGGTAAGTATGAATTGGAAATGAAGTAGTAGAATTAGCAGACATATTAGATGTAATAGTTGTAGTAGATGTAGAATAGCAAATGTAAATAAAGAATTTAAGATAAATAAAGGCTGTAAAGGCCCTAGAGAAGGAGAGAGATATCCTTTGCTTTATTAGAATAATATCTGGCCCTTACATAATAATAAATACATAAATGTCTCCCTTGCTACATTAACTAATTACTAAATCCCCAGACTATAAAACCTGATTCTTGTAATTATCTTATTCTATCTCATAGTATTGTTACCCTTCCCATCCATCTGTTGTATCCTAAAGTACCAGGATCAGTCATGGTTATATCGTTCCAATTATCCCAAAGAACTGTAAATAGTTGTGGTTATATGTGTTGTCCAATTACCTGATGTAGTGAGGTAATTGAGGAATAGAGTTAGTAAGTTCAAGAAAAGGAAAACACAAGACAAGTAAAGAAGAAATACTCACCTACAGACCCAAACCACCGACCAAATCTAAACGCCTCTTTTTAACTAAGCCAACTATAGGTAACACGAAGTTTTGGATTGCAGAGCAACTGACTCACCATACCAGCCAATTTTATTTGGTGGTAACTGTGAGATATGAATAATATAAATATAAGAAACACGAAGATATAATAAAGTAGAAGAAAGAAAGATAGAAAAATAGAATTAGTATTAGAAATAAGAATGAACACAGCAACAGAACTTTAGAATACTTACCTAAGAGGACAAAAAGAATGTATGAAATTTACTCGCCACCAATGTTCAAGCAACCTCGAAAACAAGTTAAAACTCAAACAATGAAGAGAATAATGTTGCAAGCCTCATGGAACCCCAACTGACTAGAAGAAGCATCTGATGAAATGTATAGTGCTCCTATTGTGGAGCAAAAGGCCATACTATTAGTAAGTGCCCACACGTAACCCTCTTGCAAGAAATATATGCTGGTCTTTTCATTGCACTTACTAAAAAACAAGCCAATGAAGTTCAAAGAATCATCAATGAAGTTTTTGGAGATCGCCACCTTAGCGATGAGCAAATTCTCCAAGCTCTGAAATATTTGTTGAAAATATTAGAGGATGTTAGCTTAAATAACAACCTAAATGATAATGATAAAGAAGAGGAAATTGTATATCCATTGCTTACAATCATTCCAGCTCTATATCTCGAAAAGACTGTTCTTTAACAACTTAAGAAGAACTAGTCATATAACTACCCTCATATATTAAAGTACCTGCAACTCCTGTTTCCCATAATTATCTTCACTATATATACTGTCAAGAAAATCCTGTTGTCTCTAATAGTCTAAAATGAATCATTAATGCTTGCCCAATAAAGTCCTGTAAAAGAAGATCAGCTACACCCACTACAATAGTCCCAAGTCAGAAAGTTCCCTCAACACAACCCTTGACCAAGGATCCGATTGAGGAGATAATCGATCTCTATCTTGTTTCAGAAGTAGAGGTTAGTAACTCTGATGCCAAAGTCCCCCTAGAAAACCTGATCAATGGTTATGTGGAAGCACTCTAGCTAGAATGACAACCAAAATTTGCTAAAGATGGACATGATAACCCTGAGAAGGATATTGAAATAGGATTGAAGTTAAGAAGAACGAACCTAAAGCCTTCATTTATTATTAAAAACCTGCAGATATGGGTGATTCTAATGGAACATTTAATGATGGTTATTGTTATGAAGATGGAATTGAAGTTGAAAAGGCTGAATGGATTGGTGTTGAAAAAGAAGAACATGAGACACACCCTTATTATCAAAAACCTGCCAAAACAGAAGCATTTAAAAGGGTTTCTAGAATCATAAAAGAGACAAACAAGTCTGATTATGGGGTAAATGATAAGGCAGATGATGATAATAACAATGATGATAATTATGATGATGATAGTGTTGGTAATGATGATAATGTTATGATATATGATGGAAACAGCAATGGAACAGGAATTGGAGTTGAAAAAGCTGAACATTTTGTGTTAGGAAACTTGGATGAAGCCTGCAATAACTGAAATAGAAAGGTAAATGAATTTAGAACATTAATGAAGGAAGCAGAACAATCAGAAAGTTTAATGAAATCCACCCGAAAACTTGTAACCAACAACAAGATGACACAAAAAGGAAAGCCATCATAAAGATGTCGAAATTGACACCTAAAGAAACAATTCCCATATTGGATAATGGACCTAATACAAAAGAAAGAATAATGAAATTAGAGGTAGATCGAATAATTATAAACTAAATAAATCAAGGGAAATTCCAGTACTTATCTCTGCTTCAATTAGCCTCGATGGCATTTGATCCTGGAGAAAGGTGCTCCTATCATCAGAACCTATCTAAGTTCGAGGATTACTTAAATTTTCTCAGCATGTATATGCATAGTATACATACATAAGTAGGGAAGAAATGTTATCCAGCTAAGCCATGTGACATGGCTACTCCAAATTAGGGTGACCTAGCCCACTTAGGCTATTTTGGCTACATAGGCTACTTCGGCTATGTAGGCTACGAATGCCATGTCGAGTAAGTATGAGTTGGAAATGAAGTAGTAGAATTAGCAGACATATTAGATGTAATAGTTGTAGTAAACATAGAATAGCAAATGTAAATAAAGAATTTTAAGATAAATAAAGGCCATAAGGCCCTAGAGAAGGAGAAAGACATCCTTTGCTTTATTTAAATTTGTTATTAGTAGATATATAATTAGTAGTTTGAGAATTAAATTAAGATTTAAGAGGTATATTGAGAAAATTGTTTGTAGAAGGAATGTAATAGTTTGGTAGAATAGTAAGCTCATGTGGTAGATAAATGTAGGCTTCTGTTTTGTTTATTTTTAGTATTATCATTGAGAAGTTAGTAAGTATATAGAGTTGATTTGTTGTAAATATTAAAAGAAGGTTTTTATAGTAGGTTGAAGATGTAGTAGAGGAAGATAATAATATTGAAGAAATTTGTTATAGCAGATATCTAAATCATAAGAGTTAAATAATGTTGATAATGATTTGGGTTGTATATCTTCTGTAAGGTTGCTTGCCATCTTAAGCTCAGTTTTCACAGCTGTGAAGAGTGTTATAACCTGTCCTATAAATTGGGTCTGGCTATTATTATTTTGGTTCTCTGTGTAAATAGACTTACCCACCTATTTACTTATATTATTCTCTTCTAAGAATGGTCTACTGAATGTAGAGAACATCATTATTTTAGAAGTGATGGCTGCATTTATGAATTCTATAGAAGAAATTATTGAAAAGGGCTATAAGAGGTTGTTAAAGTTAAAGTAGCAGAAGTTTGGTTTAGGTTTGGTTCAGAAATAGGGTTTTTAGTATTCTGGTTAATATTAGAAGGTTCTTGATTTGTGTTGAAATCAGATATAATTATATTATCATTATTAATTGTTGAGAAATTTGATGGAGTTTAGTTTGTTTCTTCTGGTTTGATTATATCAGATGCTTTAACTGTGTTTTTAGTAATAGTTGGGTTGGATTTGGGTTTGAAAAAGTTGGTGCTAATTTTAGGGGCTTTAAATTGTACTTTGAATTTTAAAGCAAAGTTTTCTCTGCTTCTGGATAAAAATGTTCTTTATAAGCTTTTCTAATATATAAGATAGATAGTTTGTCAAAAGATTTAAGGATATAAAAATAAGTGATTACTTTGACTAAATAATGAGTATTGACTGGTTTAGATGCAATTTTATCGATTGCTTGTTGAAGATAAAGATTATCAATTTGATTATTAATAGCAACTACTTTTAGATATGCATTAAAATATGTGTAAAAGTAGTAACTTTTACAACTATAATCTGAGTTTTCTGCTTTGTCAAGTTTGTTTTTTTCCAAGAATTTTTCTTTAGCTTTAGTTGCAAGTTGTCATAAATAGGTAATTAGTATAGGTTTTTGAAATGTAGCAGAAAAATTATTATCATGTCTAAATATAGAGATGTCCAAAATTGGATGTAGATATTTGGGCCTAGAACTTGAGAAGGGGTAAGAGTTAATAGGTGCAGGAAAGTGTTTGAATGATTCTTTAAAGAAAAAAGTAGATGGATTTTTAACATCATGTTCAGTATCTTTAGAAAGTATAGTGCAATTTGTTACAGTACAGGTATAAATGTAATAGAGTGCTGCTTTAAAACATTGTTGAGAATGTTCATGTAATGAGTCAATAAAGTTGATAATAAATTGCTAGAATAAAAAGGCTTTATATATATTAGAGAGTTTAAGGATAATTTAATATTTAATAAAATTAAAGGTTTTTGTTTATCAATTTTGATAAATTGACATTTGTAAATATCAAAGAATTTTTCAAACTATGATTTAAAATCTGTTAAATAGTTGTTAAGAGAAAGAATTTGGAATGTTTGAAGAAAGTGTTGTTTAGATATATTAAGAGAAATATTAATATTAAATTTGTCATCATTTTGTATTTTAAAGAGAGGTTGGTTAACACTATCTTTACTAATGTTATAGCAAAGTCTAAAGTAGATAAGATGGAGTTTAAGATCTTCATTCAATTTTTTTGCATTAATGGTTTTGTATTTGTCATAAAGAATAAGATGTAAACAAACTAGATTAAATGCAATTGTGTTCTGTTTGAAGTAGTATAGAGTGGAATTGAGCTATATGAAGTAAAAATTTTAAGGTAATTAAGATGAATAAAGAAAGTAGTAGTGAATTTTTTAAGTAATGCAATAAAAGTTGAGTGAATTAGTTCAAATAAATAGAAAAGAATTTATCTATAGATGAGTTGTTTTCATATATAAGATCTGTTAAAAACTTAGGATAAAGTCCAGCTAAAGTTTTAACTAAGTATATATAGTTAAACTTGGATGCTAGTTTGTCTTTAGTTGCTTGTTCAGTGATTTTACCAGAATATATATTAATAAGATGTGGTTTGATAAAGTCAAGAATTTGTAAAGCTAGTTTGTTATCAAAATGAATATGATATTTTATGTTGTCAATTATTGGATATTCTTTGAACCAATCAAGGTTATTAGAAATATCTTTAATAATTTGTTTTTGTTTTTGTTGTTTTGTAGATTGTTAAGAGTTAGATTTTTTAGAAAAGATTGAATTATAAAGTTGAATTTTGTCTTTTGCTAACATAGTACTAAGTCTATAAAGGATAACAATTTTTTTGTAATCTAAATTTAATGGAGTACAATAAAAAGGTTTAAGTTCAATATTTAGAATTTTGGGTATGCAAGATTGATGAATTAAAGAGTTTTTGAAAATACATGTTACTGTATAGTCTGATGCATGATTATGTTGGTTATTTGTAAAAACACATTGAATATTTTTAACTTTATAAAGAAAACAGATATAGTAGTGTTGGAAATGAGCAATTATGACTGTAGAAACTGAATTTGTTTAGAAGTTTGGAAAAAGAAGACATGCTGAAGAAGAAAAAGAAGAAGAAATTAAAGATTGTATTTGGTCTACTAATTTAAAAATTAAAGAAGCAGGTAGTTCATCTGATCGTTTGAAGCTTTGTACAAAGATATTAGTTCTAATTTGAGTTTGCGTTGGGTTTGGTGATTAACCAATTGTTGTTGAATAGTTAATTTTGTAGTGTTTAGAGGTAAAGCTTATATTAAACTTACCACAAAGACAAGTTGTAATAGCAGGTTGAAGAGAAACTTTAAAATAGTGATGTTGCTTTTTCTTATCACAGATATTAGGTTTAGCAAAGACTGATAGAACATATAGTGCTTGAGGTTTATTCTTTTGGAGTCCAACTTCATATTTGTCTTTATATTTAGAGTAATAGTAGTCAATGTTATAGGAATCTGGTTCCTGAGAATTGGTTAATGTAGGCATTTATTGAAGTTATTTTTGAAATTAGAGTGTAACAAATAAGGAATGTGATGACTAATAGGGTGTGACAAATAAGCAATATGCCAAATAAGGGATATGATGTTTAAGGTAACACCTAATGTGAAACTTAAGTGATTGATATAATTACTATATAACAAGAGTTGTATAATTTAGTTAAGACTAAATTGATAAAAATTAAAAATAGATAAAACAAAGTTTTTTTTTATTTATTTTAAGAGAGGTCTTTCCTCTAGTCCTTTATTTTGGTAATATATAATTAAGTACATTAGTACAAATTGATACATTAAACTAAGGAAATAGGGGTTAGAGCTAATTTATCTTCAACCTATTCTTAGCTAGAATGGTTAAGAGACCTTTAGTCTATAGGTTTGATGAGAAAAGATATTTAATTAAATTGTATAAATTTTTGAAGCCATATCATATATTGTCTAGCTATAAAAGTTGTAGATGTGGCATACATGTTTTCAACAGGGGTTAGTGAAAGTGAAAAGTGACATTGAAGATGTTGTTTGCTTGGTTTTCATATATGTTTATGTATTTTCTTTGTAATTCAGTTATATATATTTGAAAGCAGGTTTGGCTTTTTCTTTAATGGTCCTAAGTTGAATAAGTGGTCAGATATAATTCCTATTAAAATTTTTGTTTTATATAAATGTCTTAAATTTCTTAAGCTAAGTCAGATATTATGAACAATTCAATCTTGTTATCTTTACAAATTTTGGTAATTGCTTCTTTTATTATTTCTTTTAGTTCTACTTGATTGTGAAGGCAGGTTAGCATATGAAGAATGTCTTTTGGTATATTAGGACATTTTGCACAACATAAATTAATATGGGATTTTGGGTTCCTGTTATGTAAATTTAGATAAGTTAAAAGTTCTGAAGTTAAAATTTTGACTTTGAATGTTTTTAGTAAAGATTTTTTAGAATTAGTGTTTTGACTTAAAGGTTTGTTTTAAAAGTTCAGATATGCAAATATAAGCTTCCAGTTAATGTTTAAGAGACATCTTATAATATTTTTGATATAGTTTTGATTGTTCTATAATATAATTGCTTTAGATGTAGAATTTTAGATATTCGATAAATTGTGTAAGTAGTTGCTGTGTTTAGTATATATGAAGTAAACATATTATTAAGTATTTTGCTTAGGATTAAGTCTATATGAAATTGGTATAATGCATCTTTTATGTTGATTTTTTCTTCTGTTGTATCGATTAAAATTTGTAAGTTTTTTGTATTTTCTATAGTATTTAGAAGATTGATTATGTTGTTAAAATAAGTTTTTCTGAGTTTTTGTCTTAGCTTCAGTTGGGACAAGAGTATTGTTGTAATTTTGGTTTTAATTGTATTATTGTCTATTAAAATTTTAATGCTTGTTTCTGCAATTATTACTGTAAATATTATTGTTAGCATTGTCAATATTGTGTAAGTTGGAGAAGAAAATGTCTAATTTGTGCAATACCAAATTTGGTCATTATGTAAAAATGCAAGTTGAGTGAATGTTATATTATGTTTGCTTGTTTT